TTTTTTTTTTTTTTTCAATATTTTAGTTTTTAAAACATCGATATGACAATATCAATGTTTTCATGAAATACAATTCAACAATTTTTTTTTTCTTGTATTTTTTTATATTGAGTATAACTGTGTATTGCATGAGTAAGCTCTCTGTTATCAGATAGAAGATTATCATCTTAATTAATATCAATTTTATTTGATGTGTCATATAATGAAACTGCATTTGCACAATCATCTTTTCCCCTTCTTTTTCTCTTTTTATAAATAGAAGCACATTGCTATTGATATATATTGTATAATATTGACTTATAAATATATATATATATATTTTACAGACTTTGTCCCATCTAACCCAGCAGGAAGAACATGTTAACGGCATTACCAAGTCTGTATTCAAAAAGTACTTATTTCCCACTCATCCCGAACTGAGTGATAAACTCTTTACTTACTTACATCACAATGCGCAATCCACAACTACATATATAAGCACAACGGCCTTTAAGCAACAAGCTGAAAAGTTTTTGGCAGTATTGAATGATCAAACTATATTGGAAAAGTATATAAAGATCTATTCTAGCGTTCACAACGATGGCAACGTTACTCCTGAAATATTGAAAGCTTTAGTGATGTGTTGTTATCAATTGGCGATGGAAAACAATAGTACCAGTACGTGTCTTTATTCGGAGCAAATAATAGACGCGGTTGTTGCTTCATGCGTTAGTAAAAATTTATTTCAGCAATAATTAGTTTAATTGTTAATATTTTATATGTAAATGAAAATTGAATTGAGATTTTAATATTTCGTGAATATGCAATGTTTTAGTTTCACGGTAAGACCAGCTTGTCTGTGAATTATGTGAGCAATTGGATCGGGATACATTGTCCGCGGATGGTAAACGGCCTACATCGATACGTGGTTCACGTATTAACTACCGCGTATCGTAATGGTAAAGCCCTTCTATCGGCAGAACAACCCCAGCCTCCTGTTGAGATATTAACACCTGTGATAGAAAACTCAAATCCGGAATTTCCCGAAGTGAGCTTACTGCCGTTGAGTTATGTCTGGTTGTTGGCATGCACATTGCCGCAGAGTTATCTTCAGGTAATTGTCACAAACAATTTTTATATTTCATACATACATTTTAAGCAATTTTCACATAAAGATTTAATTAAAACAATTAAAGAATCTATTTCGGCTCTGTAGTTTCTAAACTAATAAATATATATTCGGTCATTGGAGCCATTCGCTAGGTGTTGTGCGGAAATTATACGTGTATATATGTCCATATATACGTGTTCACATGTAAATTTTTACACGTGAAATTCGACCGAAAAACTCCAAGTGCCTCGGTGGCCGAATAGGAAAGGCGACGGCACGGAAAGCCGGAGATTCCAGGTTCGACTCCTGGCCGAGGAGTTTTTTTCGCAATATAAATTTAATTTCAATTAGGGGGGTATTTGGGATTTATCATATACGAAATGCAAGTATAGCATCCAATATGAATTTTAGAATTGTTAATTCAATTCGAATTTCACGTGTAAAAATTTACATGTGAACACGTATATATGGACATATATACACGTATAATTTCCGCACAACACCTAGCGAATGGCTCCAATGACCGAATATATATTTATTTAATTAAAATTTTATCACCAGCCTTGTAACACTAAATCCATTATGTTTCTACACATAGTCGAATCTGTGTATCTATGTGCGTGTGTGTGTGTGCGTAGACCGACAATTCACCGAAGGACATAACTCACGCTTTGATAGCTGGACGAACAGGCAGTATTTGTCCAAGGCATTGGACGTTACTATACAATAGCAGGGAACATGGGTCCGGGGCTAATCGCTTCCTTCACCATGTATTAGGTTACAGAGGTCCCACCTTGCTTATTATAAGAGCCGCTAGTGTAGACAGCGATGGAGAACATCCAACATATTGCGTTTGTTCGGCTGTCGAGTGGCGTGAAACTAATCTCTATTGGGGCGATGAGGATTCGATGGGTTTGCAACTGACTCCGTTCTATAAAGTTATAGAGAAAGGTCCGAAGATATTGTATCTCAACACGAATATTAGAGGCTACCCGCATGGCCTGCGGCTCGGCAGCGATCCGCGCTCGCCGCTTATCAGTATCGACGATTCATTCCATTCGGTGAGCATCGCCGGCGCCCCTTACAGCATTGACCGTCTGGAAGTCTGGGGATGTGGCGATGTCAAGCTGAGGTATTTATTGCGGCTTTTGAATTTTTTTTTCTTTTTTTTTTTTTTGATGCAAGAAACAATTTATTGATATATTTTCAGAGAAAAACAATTAGAGATTAAGAAATGGCAAGTAAAAGAAGCAGAGAAACAGAGAGTCGTCAAGTTAAGCGCTAGTGATTGGCTGGACCATCCCGATCGTTACTTACTAGAATTGGCCGGTAGAACATCTTACAACGAAACTAACAAGTAGAGCTATGAGGAGAAGCCGCGCGTGCTCTTAAGTAACTCTGCTAATATTTTATTTAATTTTGTACATATGTGTATATATAGTATCAGAGATATTTTCGTTGCCGAATTTCTCGTACTTATGCTGTGCGTTTTGAATAACGTACATATGAAATGTGATTGCGATTTATGTGAAATACAGGGACTTATGCTTGATGTACTTAAGCACAAGTGCCAAAGTTTGTAAACTTGTTTAAATTTTTTTCATAGTTTTTCCCGTTATATACAGTTCCTCGCTAACGTCGTCGAATTTTTCTCTCGATATCGCGCCCGGAGTTAAAAGGATAAAAGGATAAAGGAAGGTTTAATTGATTCCCCTCAGGGTTACAATATTTTTCAACACTCCACTTCTATATCCACGATCCATTTGTATCTACGATCTATTCGGAGGCCCGATTCAGTTCGCTTTTCAATCGATAAACTCGACTTGAAAGAGACCGGCTCGGAAAAATCCGACGGTGTGGTGGATTCGAACTCGGGACCTCCCACTTGCAGCCCTCGCACTCAGGATATCGTACCCGGAGTTATCCTCACTAATAATCTTAGAAGCGCTTTGCCGATGCTTCGCGCGAATTGGTGAGAAGATGATTCCGCGGCGGTCGAGCCAGTTAGAGATAACAACCGGCAATTCTCGGAACATATACAGGGTGTCTGACAACGAACTATAAAGCCGACGTGTGTAGGTAGATCGAGTCATTCTGAACAGAAAAGTTATATACTATTTTGCAAAATTCGCAATATTTATTGAGATATNAATTAATAAATGTGAACCAATGAAGGCGCGGGGAGCGATGATCGGACTCTATAGGCGTGCACGATTATCAGATGAAAAGAAAAATGACTTCTCTCATGTAATGTCTTAGTAACGAGAGGCGGAGTAAACAAACAAGCGCGGAACGACTCAGTTTCTTGCGATCGGGCTCTATTCGGCGGTACGCAGCGAGCAGCGGCGAGCGAGGAGTAGAGCTGATAATTGTGCACGCCTATAGAGTCCGATCATCGCTCCCCACGCCTTCATTGGTTCACATTTATTAATTCATATCTCAATAAATATTGCGAATTTTGCAAATTGGTATATACCTTTTCTGTTCAGAATAACTCGATCTATCTACACACGTCGGCTTTATAGTTTGTTGTCAGACACCCTGTATATCTCTCTCGACATCTTTCTGCTCGCGGAACCGCGAAGCGGAAAGCTAACGAGGCATTACCGTATGTCCCGAAATTGTAACAATAAAAAACTAACGTTTTCATCGTTCTACAGTCTTATCTAAAAAAAAATATACATATGGTCTTATGCAAAAAATTATTTTTGAAACATGTTTTTATAAAAATATTTTTATTTTTAAAAATTTATATTTCAACGTTAAAAAGAATTATATGTATATGTGTAATGTTTTGACAATTATATTCTTGTATAAAAGTCCCGCGTACGTCACGATATATCGCGTATATATATGTGTGCATTTGCGATGCAATATCTAATATTTTATATGAAAAATTAAATTATTAGTTTGTAATCCATGTAAATATTTGAGAACTTTAAATCACTTTTTTGAATTATTTATTTCAATTGGTATTGTCGATTAAACGAACGAGACTTTTCCAACTGAAATCTTCTTCGCCATCGTATAAATTTATCACATTTTTCTCATCAATAACGTTAAATAGATCTTTGAACGGTGCGTATCTTAGAAGAGTATTTTTATCACCGATTATGATCAATTTGTGTCTTGCGCGAGTAATGGCCACTGTCAAACGCCGCTTGTCGTCCAGTATCTCATGTTCCTTCTTTGTGTTTTCACATTCGACGCTTCTCGCGCACGAATACAATATAACATCTTTGTCACGACCTTGATACTGATCCACAGTATTCACTTCTATCTCCTTGTCTATGATTCTTCTCAATAAATTTTTGTGAGCGTTATAGGGCGCAATGATTCCTATACTTCTGGCGGACACACCTGCTTCGTCGAGCACTTGGACGAGTCGCAAAGTAACGGCTGCTTCCCAGATGTTGGCACACATTTGATCCGACGTAACATCTTTTACGTTAGACGTCTCGCTCAACTTATAAGTACCGCCGGTATTGAGTACTACTACAGAATTATTCAGATCTCTGGACAGCGTTCTTCCAATCCACTTTTCGCAAGACGCGAGAGTTTGCTCTATATTAGAGGCGGTCAACGTGGCATTCTCCACCTGTTTACTACCTGTCACCAATTTGCCCTGGTACGTCACGTCATTAGCCAGTCTCATAATTCTCCCATTCATTCTGTACTGTTTCCACAGACTGACAGTGTTGTTGTCGCTATCCAGCCTGACGAACAACGATTCGTCCGCGCCGAGCTTTATGGCAGATTTACTCTTGACAACTGGCGGCAATTGATCTGGATCACCAACAAGAATGAACTTGCGCGCGCTGTATAACGGTCGCAGCACCGTGGGCTGCATGATCTGCGCGCTCTCGTCTACCACGCAAACATCGAAAACACGTTTCCTTATGAGCGCGTGATACGCGCCATAGCACGTAACACCAACAATCAGTTTGCTGTTGTAAAATGCTTCCAAACTCTCGGGCGAGTCGCAGCTCGCGATCGCATATTCTTCGCTCTTGCACGTAAGCAACGGATGAATCTTCTTTGACGAACCGAGACGCACAAAATCAATGTTCTTCTCTAACAGCTTGAGAAGGATGTTGTCCACCGCGCTGTGAGTATGCGCGGTAATCAGCACGCTTGATCTTAATGTCTGAAGCAGCTCGATCAGAGCCACCAGTGTTTGCGTTTTCCCTGTGCCCGGCATGCCCTTAATCAGAACGTATTCGTTGGCAGTCACTGCTTTTAGTACAGCTCTTTGTTGATTGTCATTTAGATCGCTTATTATTTCGGCGCTGGCCGATACGATCGAACGCGACACTTTTTCCGCAAACGAAGCCGGTTTCTTATCGATAACGATGCGTCGCAGCTTGACGCAGATCTCGTTGTTGCCTAACAGACCGGCTACACTTGCGTAATTAAACGTAGACAAACTTGTGGAAGGATACTTGTCGATGTGAAACGTGGAACGTGCATCTTGTTGTCGCGTCAAATTCTTATCCAACAAGACCGCAACGGTGTCATGCGAAATATGGAATATGTGTCCGACCGAGATATTAATTTGTTCATCGGTGCTAACACAAACATAATCGTTTTCGGCCAGCGTGCTTCCGAGCGCGCAATTTTCAATAGTTTCCCCCTTGATGTTACTACGCGCGAACGTGTGCTGATATCTATCGTCTTTCTCTATTACCTTCCCTATTATCTTTAAACCACAGATACACGTTCCTTTTGTCTCTCTTTTTTCGGGACTCATAGTCCAGAAGTTGCTCATGCTGCTGTTACTGTTCTCATAAAGTTCTTCCAGTTGCAGCAAAGCAATCCACTTTATAACGTAGTCCAAGTGACTAGATTCGCAGTAGCTTAGCAAATCTTTCATCAACGTTGTCAATGGATGCGACGGCGACAATTTTGCATTCGAATCCTTGGTCAGATACGCACAGCATATCGTTTGATAGGGACACTTAGCGCACGCGTGATGATTTATCGGTTCTGGCAATTTCATCATCTCCAAATCCGACTCGGAGTTTACACGCCAAAAATCTTCAGGCTTCTTGGCAAAATAATGTGCCAATCTATTTCGTAACAATATCAAATCTCTCTTCTCGTTGTGACTACTTTTGATCTCCTTCATCGAATTTTCTTTTAGATACAACAGAAGACCGGTGTCAACATCCTGATCCTTGAATCCCATCATCATGAGATAAAGAATAACTTGGCCCTTGTGTTCGAACGAGTAAGAGCTTCTTCCAGTTTTTATTTCCAAAGGCATGATCTTCCTTTTTGAGTGAATATTTACTTTTACCGTTACGTCAATCCTTCCCTTAATACCCAACTGCGGTATATGAATATTTTCTTCGATATCTTGTATCTCAGAGATACTCCCCTGAAAGTTGTCCTTCAAATCGCTTATACGCTGTTGCTTGTTGTCTCTGATATAATGTTGAATGAACTCGAATATCCTAGGCGCGTATTCCATCATACGCTTTCGACAATCCTTGAGCGATAATTCTGACGTGTAGAGGTACTCTATCGTGTCTTTCGATCCTAACATGTCGTCCATTAATTTGATCACGCCGGACAGTGTGTGAACGTTCTCTCGCAATGCCTTTTGCATCCATTGATGAATCAATGATCCCACCGTCATGATCGTGTAATCAGCATTCAAGTCCGGCAGCAATTCTATCTTTCTAAACTTTTCGGCTAAAACCGCTCGTCTGTTACAGAATAAACCACTCATGATCGTCGTGCTAGATATCAGCAGATCGGGCTGCGTAATGACGAAACCATTATTGTTATCGACAACCCACTTGTGTAAAGTTTTCGTGGCCTGTATCATGACAATGTCGTCGATTTTCACCTGCATGTCTCTCCAAAATCCAGAACATGCAACGGCATCAACGGACTCGGACTCGATATGTTGCACAGATAAAATAACAACCCTAGGTTCTTGTTTCACATTGATCACCTTGCATCTTTGCAAAGTGCTAAAATCAATTTGCGCATGCCATTCTTGGTTAAAAAAATCATCAAATTCATTTCCATTTATTATTACAGACTCGTCAAACAATTCTACTTGTAAATCATGCAATTCAGATTTTTCATTGAACACCCGAGCAGAAGGTAAACACTTCGAAGCAATATTTAAGTCTTGGTTTTCTTTAAGACTATGATTATCGTCACTTGCAATGTCTGAGATCTGTGTACTTGCGGTGCTGACAGACTTGAACTCTGTGCTTATATTGTGCTCAGTTCTTATTGTAACATTTGTGTCTGTTTCAGAAGCTTTTTGAATTATTGCATTGGTGTCCAGGGCTTTATTTTGTTTAAGATCATTGCATGTATCGTCTAAATTCTTAGCTACAGATAATACTGAATTTTCATTTGACTTAACATTTTCTGTTTTTGCATAATGTTCTGTAATTGTGTTAGAATTGTACAAACCCTTTATATTATCACTACATTTTTTCTTAACAATTACACATAATTCTGATGGATCATCAGTTTGTTTTCTTTTTTTGTCACTGGAGACTTGACATAAAAAACTTGTATCCGTTGCAACTTTATTGTTGCTTGCTTCTGGTTTTGGAATTTTTGTGAAAAATGATGATATTTTTGTCTGAGAAGTTTTAACACTAGTAGAAGCTAAAATCTGAAAACAGAATAATCACATAGTTAATTATACAAAAAAAAAACCACTTTTTTATGTATTTTCCACATTGATGTTTATGCATTCTAATTTGTTTTTTGCTATAAGTGCATACAATGTTATTCTAGAATTCCAAACTGTAAATTTTCATAAAAAATATATAACGTGCATTATTTTGGAGGTCAAAAAATCTTTCTGTCTTATATAAAATTATTATTATATCGTAAAGTAATTACCTGTTTTTTTGATAACTGACGTTTCTTCATCTTATACGCAGTTTACTTAAAGCAACTTTATTACTTCACATGATGAAACTGATATGAAAGATAACCAGATATAACTTTCTGTAACTGATCACACGATTGTTCCCGCGTAAAAGTTTTATGTGGTCTTGCCATTTATTAAGGTACCTTTTCATACAGCAGCACGCTGCGGCAGCAAAACGTCACGTGACTCAAATATTTTCTAAGCTTCTTTCGCTAGGGTATATTTACTGTTCTTAAGGGCCTTCTACAATAAGATATTGGTAATAAATCAGAAGTCAGAGCAAGTAATTGACTAATCACAATCGATTATTCTTCTGTGATTTGACTGTGATTGGTCAATTTCTTACTTCTGATTTGTTACTAATATCTCATTGTAAAAGGCTCTTAACCCTCATTCGATGCCATTCTTTGACTGTGTTCCGATATTCACTGCCAGCATGGACGTATCAAGAGGCACGGTAGTGCCTCGCGCCAAGTTCACGCGCAACGAAGTTGCGCTCGAACTGAGCGAGCACGCCGTGCCTATTATACGCGAAAATCAGGCATTTTAGTGGAGGGGAGATGTTTAATAAGCAATTATTTAATAACG